GCAAATGCCGGCTTCACGTAGGGCTCGCGCGATGGTGTCGCGCAGGTTGTTGTGCCTCTTAACCATGAAGCCGCCATAGGAGCAGCAAAGCGCGTGGCGTCCGTTAGTGTCGACGGTGCCGGTGCAGAGGGTTCCGTCCTCCTTTCTGAAGGGGCAGGGGCCGTCAGCTGCGCGTGCGAGACCTCCGAGTCTGTGTCTCACGGCCATCCTGAAGTGGGCGTCAGCGAGGTGGTGGTCGGGCCGCGTGGGCGGCCCGAGCCACGCGCCTGCCCCCTTGCCTGTCGTGCTAAGAGCCCAGGCCCGTTGATGCGGTTCCGTCTGGGTGCGTCGCAGCCACTGCGTCCACTCTGCGTGCCGCCTGTGCCTGGTAAAGCGCCGCTGGGTGGTGTCGGGCGGCTCCGTGTCGGGCGCCTGCTGTGCTGCCTCTTCCTGTGTCAGCGCGTTGACAGTGCTCTGGAGGCGGTGGAGCGCCGGTCTCAAGCCCGGGCAGTAGTGGAGAAGGTCATCTCTGTCGCGGAGGCCCAGTCGCTGGAGCACTGGCTTCTCGCAGAGCGCCCACGAGGCCGCTTGGGCATCCAGGCGCGCTGCGCTCACGCTCTGGAATCCCAAGCCGCCCAAAGCGACAGGGTGCCAGTATTTCTCTTTCTGCTCCGCTGTGAGGTCGTGCGTTTGTACTAGCTCCTCCAGTGTGCTGAGCAGGTCGGCGTCGAGCTGTGTCGCCGTTTGGGCGGGAACCCCGGTGGTGCGCATGTGCCAAGTCATGTCTCCTGCAGTGAGGGTTCGTAGAAGTACCAAAGACGTCTGAACGTCTAGGCCGGCTTTGTGAAGGTCCATGAGTCTGGCCATGGCAGTCGTCCTCCTGGTTCGTTGGCGTTGTAGTCGCGGCGAGGCGGGTGAGTGCAGGCTGCCCTCCTCGGCGTGCTGGTCGGCGGTTACCGGCGTCGGTGCCAGGCCGGAGTAGTCGTCGGCGTGTTGTCGTAAGATGGTGGGCTGCTCTACTCGCGGCACGGGTAGGCCCGCTGGTATCGCGGCAGGATTCCTCGCCCACACCTCACATTTGTCGACGCGTGTTTGGAGGCCGGCTTGGCTGAGTGCGTTGGTGTATGCTGCGTATATGGTGGGCAGGTCTTCAGGCTTCGCAAGGATGGTGAGGTCGTCGATGTAGCCGAAGAGCTCGTGCTGTATACCTGCTGCGTCGAGTTGGTGTTTGGCCCTCTCGAGGGCTCGGTCGAGTCCGAGGCAGAAGAGCGTGGTGGCCATGCCGCACCCCTGGAAGATCCCCGTCGTTGGTTCCAAATGTGTCTTCTGCCCCCGGTGTCGTGGTAGACTACCTGCCCGGCGTCCGGCAGGAAGCCTCTTGCCCATCGGCGGAGTTTTGGGCAGTGAGTATCGATACCTTCGTTGATGTACACCCTGCTCAGGTTCTGGAAGGCGTCTGCAGCGTCCAGAGAGAGCACGGCGTAGTCCGGGCGGACGTGGAGGGCAGTGGACACGTGCTTGTGGACTAGTTCCGCCCCAGCCGTGTGCTTGTACCCGTACTGCTTGCCGCGAAGCCCCTCGGCGACCTCGTCCGCCGCCATTTTGTTGACCGCCTTGGACGCGAGACGGCGGAGCGGGCTGGCGAGGTTGATGGGGCGGATTCGGGTGGGGCTCTTGGTGAGCGGGAGGAGGCGGGCGGCCGTCGCCAGTTCCTGCACTTCCTGCGGGAGGGTGCCGCGGGCTAGTGCTGCGGCCACTGTGGCCAGGGCACACAGAGCGGACAGGTCAGTTTGGACGAGTTGGAAGTGCTCGTACCGCCGCCCGTCGGGCCCAGCTGCGCTTCGTTTTGGTGCGGCCCGCAAGGCTCTGGCGAAGTGTAGCTCGAACTGTTGCTGCTCGTCGTCCTGTTCGTCGTAGGCTGCTGGTGGCTGTGGTTGATGGTGTGGGAAGAGCTGCGGTGCGGCTTGCAGGGTCAGCTGGTCTCCTGCAATTTCGAGCGCTTCGCGGAGGACTCTCGTAGCTTTGCCCACGGCGCCTGCCTCCACGAGTTTGCGCGCCGTCATAACGTCGTGCTCTGCGGTAGTCTTCCGCCTGGCGCGCAAAGGAGGTGGGGCGGAATCAAGGACGGCGCCCCAAAGCTGCGCTTCGCGGTGCTCCCTGATCTCCGTGGCCCGGCGGAACAGCGTAGTGGTGAGCTGAGCGTTGCCTCTCTTGCCGCCTCGGAGGTTGGCGTGCCCGAACAGCAGCTTAGGGAGCATGAACCAACGCTTGGCCGCCTTGGTGATGGACTCCGGGGTGCCGTGGTGGATCTCGTGGGCGAAAGCCTTCGTGTGCTCCGTTATGATGGCGCCCACCACCCCGCGAGCGTGCGGCGGTATATGGGCGGCCGTGGGCACTGGTTGTTGGACCATTTCTGGCGTGATGGCGTCCGCCCATTCGGCGTTGGCGTCGCTGCTGGCGTGCCTGGCCGTGTCGAGTTGGAGTTGCGCGTCGGCTGGCGCACGCGGCGCCGGCGCGGTGACGACGGCAGCCCATTTGTGTTCAACTTCTCTTTTGAGTGCAAAAGGAAGGTCGTCGGCCAGTTCCAGGGCAGCGTTGCTGGTCTGGGCGCAGACAAGAGCGCACTCCAAGCAGGCGACGGGGCTCTGCGGCGCAATGCTTGTGCGACAGCGGATCACCTGCGGCGGTATAATGGAAGTACACATCGCGCACGTAGCTGCTCTGCCCGTCCGGGGGAGCGTGGCGTACCACGTCGCGGCGTCCTCTCGTGGCCGTCGTCGCGACCGTTGCCCGGCAGCGTCGTCTGGTAGGGCGCCATGCCCAGCGGCAGCAGCAGTGCCAGAGCGGGAGGATTCGCCAGTTCGTTGCGCCCGAATCCGCCCGTGTCTTGCCTCGAGGAGCCCGTCGTCGGTCGGCGCATTCGTGTCCATATCGTCCGCTGTGGCGGCCGCGGCCGCGCCAGGGCCTTCCCCGGGGTACCCCAGCGTGCAGTCGAAGCCCAGCTCGCGCCACGTCGCGGCCATCGCAGCTGGCGTCATCCCGTAAGCTTGGTTCCTCCTGGCCAGGTTTTCGAGCTGCGTCCAGCCGTGGTGACGAGGAGCCCGAGGCGTCGGGGCACTCAATGTAGCCGTGGCCAACGTCATCGTGTAGCTGGGGGCACCGACAGCAGCTCCCGTAAGCGCAGCGGCCAGCAGGCAACTAACGAGCAGCACGATCGCGAGAGCGTACTTCTTGCCATACTTCTGCACGAGTCCGCACGCCTTGGAGGGCCTGGCCATGAGGCGCCGCCCGATCGTTAGTACGGCAAAGAGCAGGTCCACAGAGAGACAGGTGAGCACCGCGAGAGCGCACGTGAGATGGCCTGCGAGGCACAGCATGGTGAGGGGGATTGGCAGCTGCTGAGTCGGCTCCAGCTGACATCCTGCACTCCCCCGATGGCCGGCGGCATTCCATGCCGAGAGCGCCCAGAACAGCAAGGCCGCAAGCACCTGCGACCGTCCGCGGGCGTGCCAGAAGAGGCGCAACGCCCTCTCGGGGACGGTGCGGCAAGTTCCCCTGGTCTCACCAGTGATTGTGCTGCTGAACGTGGCGCTGCTGCTGTCCGTCGTGCTGGTCAATGTGGTGCCGCTAGTTGCAATGTTGCTGTGAAGCATGATGCTGATGGTATTGGTCGTGCTCGTAATGCTTATCGTCGTGCTGGTTGTAGTGGTGTTGTTGGTACCAGTCGCACTCTGAACACTCGCGTTGCTGCTCTCACCGCTGCTGCTCGACGATGTGTTGGGCGTAGTGGTGTTGCTGGTACTGGGCTCGCTCGGAACACTCATGGTTATACCTGTACCCGTGCTGCTCGCCGACGTGCTGGTCGTAGTGATGCTAGTGGTGCTGCCGGTACCTGTCGTGCTCGTCATTCTCGTGGCTCTGCTCTCCGTCGTACCGCTCGCCGCCGTGCTCGGCGTAGTGGTGCTGCTGAAGTCGGTCGTGCTCGTCACACTCGCGGTGCTGCTCTCGGTCGTACTGCTCACCGATGTGCGGGGCGTACCCGTGCTGCTGATAACAGTCGTGCTCTTTACACTCGTGGTGCTGCTCTCGGTCGTACTGTTCGCCGACGCGCTGGGCGTGGCGGTGCTGCTGACCCCGATCGTGCTCGTCACTGTCGTGGTGCTGCTTTTTGTCGAACTGCTCGCCGACGTGCTGGGCGTGGTGGTGCTGCTGGTCTCGGTCGTGATCGTCGTACTCGTGGCGCTGCTCTCAGTCGTACTGCTCGCCGACGTGCTCGGCGTAGTGGTGATGCTGAAGTCGGTCGTGCTCGTCACACTCGCGGTGCTGCTCTCGGTCGTGCTGCTCACCGATGTGCTGGGCGTACCCGTGCTGCTGGTACCAGTCGTGCTCTTTACACTCGTGGTGCTGCTCTCGGTCGTACTGCTCGCCGTCGTGCTGGGCGTCGCGGTGCTGCCCGTATCGGTCGAGCTGGTCATGTTCCTGGTGCTGCTCTCGATTGTACTGCTCGCCAACGTGGTGTGCGTAGTGGTGCTGCTGGTACGTCTCGTGCTCGTCCCACTCGTGGTGTTGCTCTCGGTCGTACTGCTCGCCGACGTTCTGGGCGTGGTGGTGCTGCTGGTACCTATCGTGCTCGTCGCCATCGTGGTGTTGCTCTCGGTCGTACTGCTCGCCGACGTGCTCGGCGTAGTGGTGCTGCTGGTCTCGGTCGTGCTCGTCATTCTCGTGGTGCTGCTCTCGGTTGTACTGTTCGCCGCTGTGATGGGCATAGTGGTGCTGCTGGTCTCGGTCGTGCTCGTTATCCTCGTGGTGCTGCTCTCGGTCGTACTGCTCGCCGACGTGCTGGGCGTAGTGATGCTGCTGGTACTGGTCGTGCTCCTTACCCCCGTGGTGCTGCTCTCGGTCGTACTGCTCGCCGACGTGCTGGGCGTGGTGGTGCTGCTGGTCTCGGTCGTGCTGGTCACCCTCGTGGTGCTGCTCCCGGTCGCACTGCTCGCCGACGTGCTGGGCGTGGTGGTGCTGCTGGTCTCCGTCGTGCTCGCCACCCTCGTGGTGTTGCTCTCGGCCGTACTTCTCGCCGGCTTGCTGAGCGTAGTGGTGCTGCTGGTCTCGGTCGTGCTCGTTGCCCTCGTGGTGCTGCTCTCGGTCGTGCTGCTCGCCGACGTGCTGGGCGTAGTGGTGCTGCTGGTACTAGTCGTGCTCGTTACCCTCGCGGTGCTGCTCTCAGTCATACTGCTCGCCGACGTGCTGGGCGTAGTGGTGCTGCTGGTTTCGGTTGTGCTGGTCATCCTGGTGGTGCTGCTCTCGGTCGTTTTGCTCGACGACGCGCTGGGCGAGGCGGTGCTGCTGGTGCCGGTCGTGCTCTCCACACTCGTGATGCTGCTCTCGGTCGTGCTGCTCGCCGACGTGCTAGGCGTAGTGGTATTGGCGGTGCCAGGTATGCTCGCCCCAATCGTGGCGCTGCTTTCGGTCGTTCTGCTCGCCGACGTGCTGGGCTTAGTGGTGCTGCCGGTGCCAGTCGTGCTCGTCCCACTCGTGGTGCTAGTTTCGGATGTACTGCTCGCCGACGTGCTGGGCGTAGTGGTGCTGCTGGTACTTGTCGTGCTCGTTACCCTCGCGGTGCTGCTCTCGGTCGCACTGCTCGCCGACGTGCTGGGCGTAGTGGCGCAGCTTGTCTCGTTCGCGCTCGTGGCCCTCGTGGTGCTGCTCTCGGTCATACTGCTCGCCGACGTGCTGGGCGTGGTGGTGCTGTTTTCAGTCGTACTGCTCGCCGACGCACTGGGCGTGGTGGCGCTGCTGGTGCCGGTCATGCTCGTCATACTCGTGGTGCTGCTCTCAGTCGTAGTGCTCGCCAACGTGCTGGGCGTGGTGATGATGCTGGTCTCGGTCGTGCTTGTCACACTCGTGGAGATGCTCTCGGTCGTACTGTTCGCCGACGTGCTAGGCGTAGTGTTGCTGCTGGTCTCGGTCGTGCTCGTCACCCTCGCGGTGCTGCACTCAGTCGCACTGCTCGCCGACGTGCTGAGCGTAGCGTTGCTGCTGGTCTCGGCTGTGTTCGTCACCCCCGTGGTGCTGCTTTCAGTCGCACTGCTCGCCGACGTGCTGGACGTAGTGGTGCTGCGGGTCTCGGTCGTGCTCGTCACAGTCGTGGTGCTGCTGTTGGTCGTACTGCTCGCCGCCGCGCTGGGCGTGGCGGTGCTGCTTGTACGGGTCGCGCTCGTCCCGAGCGGGATGCTGCTGTCGGTGGTTCTGCTCGCCGACGTGCTGGGCGCAGTTGTGCTGCTAGTCTCCATCGTGCTCGTCACACTAGTGGACATGCTCTCGGTCGTAGTGCTCGTCGATGTGCTAGGCGTAGTGGCGCTGCTGGTCTCGGTCGAGCTCGTCACCCTCGTGGTGCTGCTCTCGGTCGTACTGCTCGCCGACGTGCTGGGCGTAGTGGCGCTGCGGGTCTCGGTCGTGCTCGTCAGAGTCGTGGTGCTGCTCTCGGTCGTACTGCTCGCCGACGTGCTGGGCGTAGTGGTGCTGCTGGTAGGGGTTGTGCTCGTCACAGTCGCGGTGCTGCTCTCGGTCGTACTGCTCGACGACGCGCTGGGCGTGGTGGTGCTGCTGATACCCGTTGTGCCTGTCCCGACCGTGTTGCTGCTGAGGGTGGTTCTGCCCGCCGACGTGCTGGGCGTGGTGATGCTGCTGGTCTCGGTCGTGCTCGTCACACTCGTGGAGATGCTCTCGGTCGTACTGCTCGCCGAAGTGCTAGGCGTAGTGGGGCTGCTGGTCTCGGTCGTGCTCGTCACCCTCGTGGTGCTGCTCTCGGTCGTACTGCTCGCCGACGTGCTGGGCGTAATGGTGCTGCGGGTCTCGGTTGTGCTCGTCACCCCCGTGGTGCTGCTTTCGGTTGTACTGCTCGCCGACGTGCTGGGCATAGTGGTGCTGCGGGTCTCGGTCGTGCTCGTCATAGTCGTAGTGCTGCTGTTGGTCGTACTGCTCGCCGCCGCGCTGGGCGTGGCGGTGCTGCTGGTATCGGTCGTGCTGTTCCCGAACGTGATGCTTTTGTCGGTGTGTTTGCTCGCCGACGTGCTGGGCGTAGTGATGTTGCTGGTTTCGGTCGTGTTCGTCATACTCGTGGAGATGCTCTCGGTCGTACTACTCGCCGACGTGCTAGGCGTAGTGGCGCTGCTGGTCTCAGTCGTGCTCATCACACTCGTGGTGCTGCTCTCGGTCGTACTGCTCGCCGACGTGCTGGGCGTAGTGGTGCTGCTGGTAGGGGTCGTGCTCGTCACAGTCGTGGTGCAGCTCTCGGTCGTACTGCTCGCTGTTGCGCTGGGCGTGGTGGTGCTGCTGGTGCCGGTCGTGCTCTCCACACTCGTGGTGCTGCTCTCGGTCGTACTGCTCGCCGACGTGCTGGGCGTAGTGGTATTGCTGGTGCCGGTTGCAGATCTCGTCAACGGCCTTGTCCTCGACCTGCTTCTGCGACGCGGCTTCGCAGATGAGCATCTCGATGTCCGCCGGGCTCGGCAGCGTCAGCTGCGCCTGCGGGCACTTGGCTACCGCGTCCCAGTCGGCCTCGACGTCTGTCTTGCAGTCGGGGTTGAACTTGATGTTGGGGGGCTTCTCCATGATTACCTGGCAGATCTCGTCGACTGCCTTGCCCTTGACCTGCTTCTGCGCCGCGACCTCCACGGCCTCCTCCGCGGCGAGGGTGACGCCGCACAGGAGAGGGAACAGGGCGCCGACCGCCGCCGGCGGCCACCAGCGGGCACATGGCAGCCGCCGCGGGGGCCCCCGTCTCCGCCTCCTCCCCCTCCTCCCCCCTCCTCCCCCTCCTCCTCCTCATCCTCCTCCTCCTCCTCTCCTCCTTCTCCTCCTCATGATACTACTCTCTCCCTCTTCCCTTGATGACGTCTTGGGAATATTCGCCCCCCCCCCCCCCCCTTCCGCGTAATGTTTTTTTTGCACAGGTTTCCCCGGAGTTGGGTTTTCGCTGGCATTTTTCCCAAAATGCTGCTCTCGCTGAGGCGCTGGCCTCATTTTCGGGCCCCGCTCGTTCCGAATCGTGCTCCCGCTGCAGCGCTGGCCTCATTTCCGCCGGCGCCCGGGCTACACACCCGAGCCGGCGCCCGGGCCGGCGCTCGGGCCGGGTCCGGAGCCGGTTCCGGCCGGCGCCGGAAAATCGAGTTCCGAGGCGGCGCTGAAAAAAGGCCATTCTATTACACATTTTCTTTTGAAAATGCTGAATTTCTGCTTCCGGCGCCCGGGAGGCCTCCTGGGCCGATTCCGACGCCCAGGCCGGCGCCGGAGCCAGCGCCCGGGCTGGACGCCCGAGCCGGCGCCCGGGCCGGCGCCCGGGCCGGGTCGGGAGCCGGTTTTCCGGCCGGCGCCGGAAAATCGAGTTCCGAGGCGGCGCCGAAAAGGCCATTCCAATACAATTTTTTCTTCTGAAGCTACTGAAATTTCTGCCTTCCCCGGAGTTCGGTTTTCGCTTGCAGTTTTTCCCAAAATGCTACTCTCGCTGAGGCGCTGGCCTCATTTTCGGGCCCCGCTCGTTCCGAATCGTGCTCTCGCTGCAGCGCTGGCCTCATTTCCGTGCTTCCGCTCGTTCCGAATCGCGCTCCCGCTGCAGCGCTGGCCTCATTTCCGCGCTCCCGCTCGTTTCGACTCGTGCTCGCGCTGCAGCGCTGGCGTCATTTCCCGTGCCATGCCACGGCATGCAATGCAATGCTAGGTTGATACTACGCTTCGCGGTGCTCTTCTACGCCATGCCATGTCGTGCTCTACAATTCATCGCGTACCCTTTCGGGATCATCGCCCTGCTTGACATCCGACTGTGCGAGTAGAGAGGGGATCTGCGCCATGGTAAGGGATGGGAGGGAGGGGTAGGGTGTCAAATATGACGCGAGCGCACCTAGCTTGTCCTCCTCCCCCT